TCGGGCAGCGACACCAGAGGTGATGACGACGAGGGCATCCCAGAGGACGTTGCCCAGGCCTACGTGACTTACCAGTCGGCCAAGCAGAAGTACAAGGACCAGCAACGGGCGCGCGGCTTTGTGAGCGGCGATGGAGGCCCCGGAAATTTCTCCGAAAACAAGGACGAGAACTTGAAGGTAATGAAGGCCAGAAGCTTCTGTAGCGGCTGTGGTCGCCGTGGACATTGGCATAAGGATGCCGAATGCCCTAAGAACAAGCCTGGTGCCAACCCGCACTCCTCCGTAAAGCCGGACATCAAGGACATCAGCATGTGCAATGTGCTCCCGGCGGAGGTCTATGCTACCAAGCATGAGGGAGAGCTCCTGTTGGGGATCACTGATACAGCCTGTGCGAGGACCGTGGCCGGCACTCAGTGGCTCCAGAAGTACACAGACGCCCTGGCTAAGCTTGGACATAAGCCTCTTCTGCATAAGGAGTGCGAGGCCTACCGCTTCGGGACCGGGAAGGTCCACTACTCCGCCTTTTACGTCATCCTTGGGTTCGAGCTCGGGAGCAAGATCGTGCAGGTGAGGACCTCAATCATCAATGGTGACGTCCCTCTCCTCCTCTCGAAGGGAGTGCTGAGCAGACTTGGCATGATCTATGACGTCGAGCTCGGCCGTGCTGACTTCACTAAGGTAGGGCTGCGTGGCTTTGAGTTGCAGGTGACAACTTCTGGTCACCCTGCTATCCCCATCATACCTGCCAAGGTCGCAGAGGATGTTTCAACCGGCCTCCAGGCCGAAGACTTGCGACTCTCATCGCGTGAGCAATACACTGTGTATGCCGTAGCACATGGTAGCTTCAAGACCCCTTCTACTTTCAACATCTTCTTTGACAAGAAGCTAGATCCTGGGGCTCGAGACATGCTATGTCAAGAACATCTTCATCAAGAGGCATTCCTAGCATGGTGGAAGAGTGCTGGAACCACATCCGATTTCTGGCTAGAGTCCCCCGAAGCCTGGATAAGAGTCCACATGACCCCCAGAAAGGTTCTCTTCAACCCTTCCATTTGGCAGACTCGGGCCACCCTCCAGAAAGAGATGTTGCTCCAGACTGCAGGCGAGGTTAGGATCACTGAGGGCGTTTGCTGTGCGACAGGTAGATGGCTTGAGCCGATCGTTGACCGTTGGATGAGTGGAAACACCAGTGAGCATGCTTTCGGGTTCCTTTGGGCTGGAAGAACTTGGATTAGCAAGCGCTATAGCCCTCACGACCTCCTTCGCACTCCCGACCATGGAACAAGGGCCATGTCAGGCGCGACCCCTGACAATCAGCCAGATGTCCAAGGCAGAGCTCCTCAGCGAGGCGACTCGACTTGGACTCGTGGTCCATCGGACCTGGGCGGTGCAGGAGCTCAAAGCCGTGATCATGGAGCACAGGGAGAGCCTGAAGGAGAAGGACCCCGTGGAACAGATGCGGAGAGTGACACACATGACGTTGTCACAGTTGGAGGCGAAGGCGACCGACTTGGGCATCGACTTTCCCACGGGGACGACAAAGGGCAATCTTATGCGCCTGATCCGCGACAGCATCAACACTCCCGATCAAGAACTGATGAAGATAGGAAAGTTTCGAGGATTCCAGTTTGTGGAGATCCCCGAGAGCTACTGCGAGTGGGTGGTCAGAGAGCTGACCGTCTCCCGGAGCCCGGACCCGGAGTTGGTTCGCCTACGCAACTGGTACCAGCTGCGCAAGCAGAGGGTTGCAGAGGGGTACAGCTCCACCTCGATCACACCCCCGTTTCCGAGTGGGACGACCTCAGTGGCAAATGCGGAGCCGGCATCCACGACACGATCTTTGAGGAGCACGAGTCCGGCCTCGAGCGCTACGGCAAGGTCGTCGGACTGGGGAGTCGTGAGCGACAAGAGCTCGAGAACGAGGCGCCGGGCGCACCAGGACACGATCGAGGAGAAGGAGATGGAGGCGGACATCGACCCGAAGACCGCGGCAGA